AGAAAGTAAAGTCTGAACCACTGTAACATTTATAAATGTCGGACCCAGTCTAACCGCGTGAAATAATGCGTGTGCTTCTAGTAATGTGCTTAAGTTACTATAATATTGATTCAAAATTTGTATAACTTTTTATAGTGATATATTAAAGTTACTATACAAGAAAATAAATACTTTGTCAAAAGAGTGTAGAGAGAAGTTTGTGCTTAACTATCTACTCTATATAAAATGCAAAGTTTACTTCTTTAAATGATATGATAACTAATTAGATATGATAATTGAAAATTACTATTTAAAAGAACTTGTTTATATCTAATTTTAATAATTATAATACATGTTGTTTTTATATATTTTCAAATTATATTTTGTCAATTATACAAATTCATATTCGCTAATTCCATTAGTTTTAGTGTTCACTTATTCATTTGTTCATTCATTTGCTTATTCATTTAGTTATTCATTTGTTCATTTGCTTGTTTGCTTGTTTGCTTGTTTGCTTGCTTGTTCACTTACTTTATGTAATTTGACTTTTATCCAATAAGATATGAAGTATGTATAATTTAGTAATATGAAATGTTATAATGAAAGATTATTATATAATACTATAGCAAAATAAATGTTTACTATAAAGTAACTAAAGTAAATTAAAATTGTAAAAATCAAAAATAATTTTTAAATCTAAATATCTTTTTGAATATCCATTTTCAATATTAACTATTTTATACAATGACTCACACATATAACCAAACACAAAAATTAACTTTTTAGCATTTTTATTTCCATGACTATTAGTTTGAACAAAAATAAAAAAAGTGTTCATTTGAAATCCTGAATATTTTTTAAAAATAATTTGACAACAGATTATTTTGTGAAATAAATTTCTCACATTGAAGAACTTTTTTTTTATGATAGATCCAAATTTGAATCACTAATTAAAAATATACTACTCTATGAAATCTACTTATTTACCAATTTTCATAAAAATTGGCTTCAAATTCATCGAGATTTGAGACTGAATTTATGCTAGGAGTATTGATTCATGTATTAATGCTCTTAGCATAAATTCAGACTTTAGGATCTTAAATCTATATAAATTAGGCTAATTTTTATGAAAATTGGTAAATAGGTAAATTTCATAGAGTAATACATTTTTAATTAGTGGTTCAAATTTGGATCCATCATAAAAAAAAAGTTTGATTTAAATCACTCTATTTCACAAAATAATCTGTTGTCAAATTATTTTTAAAAAGAGGTTTCAGGGTTTCAAATGAACACTTTTTTATTTTGTCCAAACTAATAGTCATGGAAATAAAAATGCTAGAAAGTTAATTTTCGTGTTCGGTTACATGTACCAATTTGTAGTTCTAATTCTGATCTACAACTTTACTTAGAACATTTACTTGAACTCGAACCGGAATTTTGATCTGGTTCGAATCTGGTTCGAAGTTCAAACCGAACTCGAACCAGACTTTTAATTGGGTTCGAATTTTCGAACCAGACATGTGGTCAGGTTCGAGTCCGGTTCAAACTCGAACTGAACCAGACTTTTTTTGGAACCCTATTAATAGCTACAATTTGATATAATATACTTTATATTGGTAAAGTTTACTCTGAATCAACACAGGTTCTATTTGATATTATTGTATCCAGGTCAGGAGGGTTACAGAAAAATATCTCCGAGTAGTAATATACTGTATTATATTATTAATTAGTGTTATACTTATTATATTATCAATTATATAATGAATATTAACTAAAAATTGACCAATTATCGATGGTAACAGTAACCCCGAGTTAAATCCATGTAAAAGCTGCCGTAATACAATAACATATATATTTCTAATATAGTAATTTATGAATGAAAGGGAAAGATAGCAAAAAAATGATGATAAATATTAGTTTGTGGGTTTTCGACGATAAAAAACATCTTTTTATCGTCCATGCTGTTGTATTAACATACAGAAACCGCAATTATCACAACTTCACTTCCGAGAAATAGTTGCGAACATTTCGTGTCAAATGGATAATTTACTGGATGAGATATTGATCGAAATTTTCAAACATGTTCGATATCCTATTTCGTTAGCTTTAACTTCTTGTCAGTGGGCTAGAATTGCAGCAGACCCTCACGCAAAAGCTTCATGGTTAATAACACATTACGGCAAAGCACACGCATTATTTCACGCGGTTAGACTGGGTCCGACATTTATAAATGTTACAGTGGTTCAGACTTTACTTTCTCGTAACATTGTCTTATCAAGATACTTTGTACAACGATTATTAATGCATTTTGGTAAATATGATGAAGAACTAATAAACCAAAAAATTGAGCATAACGTAGGTCAGCTTGATAACGACCGGCTCCGAGCATTTCAAAAAAAAATCCGATGTCCCTGGGCGAGCCAATTGCCCCTCGATGTTTTCACGTGTCTTCTCTCCGAAGGGTATCAGCGCTTTGGTGGACCAAACACAGCTTCTAAAGGAAATGATATGGAATTGTTTCACTTCTTATCGGCGGGTCCTTACGTCATCAATCATGCGCCAGATAAATTGAAGCAAAATAAAGAAAAGATCGAAGAACTTGTACGCGAGTATCATTTCGTACCATTTCCACCGAGGCCGAAACCGAAATACAATGACCAAGATGATAAACAAAGACAGGCCAATTCCGCCGTTCATGAAGAATATCCGCCAAAAGATGGTTATGAGAATGTTAGACAGCTTAACGTGATCGCGCGTGCAATATTGATACATCCTCCTCTTGTTGGAATATGGAAACGTGAAGGATACCTCGAGATTTGTGAAGACGTGAACGAACTAGTGATGCAGGGAGCGCTCCTTATCTTGTTTCCACCCAATCCGACTGCAGATTGGCAGAAGCCAAATGCAGAAAAAGTTGAAGAAAGATTGAGGGAATTGGAAGAGCTTGGTTTCAAACTTTCAGATTCTGTTATTGGAGACGCATTATTCTTATTCGAACATCGACTTACCGAGATTGGTGTTATATTTATAGAAGCATTTAAAAAGATGCGTAACCAGTCAATCAACGAGCTAATTCAAAAATGTCTAATTGAAGTTATCAAACCAGAAAGGATCTTAAAAAATAATATTTTGCTCGACTTTTTATGTAATTTTTTGAAGCCAGAAGAATTCTCTAAGGCGTTCACAAATGCATTAATCTATCATAATATTGGACCGAACCTTGTTTCAACGCTTCAGAGCATGATTTTGGCTCCCAGTTCAAAAGAAGCACAAAATAATTATCAAACCAATCTTCCGAACATGCTTTCAAAAGAAGCACAAAATAATTATCAACCGAACCTTCCGAATATGATTTCGCCTCCCAGTTCGAAAGAAACACAAAATCAAAACAATCATCAAGAATCACGAGACACAGTCAAAGATTATGAACAAGCATTAGCCATAGGTTATGAAGAGGCATTTGAGTGTTATTTAAAATCAGCAGAGAAATTCGTGATATCATCATCGTTCTCCTCGAAGGTTATGGCATACGTTAAATTATCGCCGATTGTATACCGCTGGGCTATTCAGAAATTTGGAGCCACTTCTGAACCTGTGAAACTCCTGTTCTATGATATCCTTAGAGCACGGATAGCTATACGACCACCGAATTTGGAATCAGAATCATCAGATAACAATAGTCCATCCGGTCAAGTGAAAAAATTATATGACGAATTCAGTAATGGAAGGGTACCATATTCAGAGATGCATTTGAGTCTACTAGCAAAGACAGACGATAACGACTTGCTTCTGGATTTCTTTGACAAATATTTACCAAAAATTTACAACAAAAGTAAAAAGAGAAAAAATGCAAATCTTGAAAATCTTGAACAGAAGTGGAACGAAATTTTGTTTTCTTTTCATGCCGGTGAAAAAACACGTCTTACTGAAACTGATTTTTATGGACATCTAATTAAATATGACATTGAAAGTTCAGCAAAGTTCTTGGATAAAATTCAAACGTTCAAATTACGAGAGGATGTACGTTATTCACATCATAGCGAACAAGAGGAGGATGGAGGGGATAAACAAACGTCAAAGCGTTCACGTCTCGTTTAAGATCAAGTACTTTAGAGTCTTTCATATTATTTTATCAACTCCCCTATACTTACTATACTACCCCGAGCCTTTTATACTTCACGAGAAAATTATATATAGTATTAGGTTTTTTAGATCTGTTCAATATTTTCTGTTAAACTTCAAATGATTATCAAAAGACGTGGTGGTGTAGACTACCCCGAGCCTTTTATACTTCACGAGAAAATATATAGTATTAGATTTTTTTAGATCTGTTCAATATTTTCTGTTAAACTTCAAATGATTATCAAGAGACCTGGTGTAGACTACCTACCAATTATTATCGAATAATTATCTTTTACTTGTTTTCTAATTTTGACAACTTTCATAATTGACTCTTCAGGATTATTGGGCAGTTTCATTGCAGTTTCATTACAATTTCATTTTCAATGTGACAAAAAGACAAGAAAAAAACGATCGAAAACATTCACCAAAATCAAACCTTTTCGACATTGCGTTTACTAGCCGAATACAGTACGATACTGTAAACAGCAACTTCTCGTCGGCACATCCGATAATGCCTAATCGTATGATACACACAATAAAATACCAACTCTACGTCAAAGAGGTTTATGTTTTATGTTTTATGATTAACTAAGAATATTTTTTTACTTCTATCATGTGATTTATGATTCTCACTTCTATTTACATACCCTTATTTATCGCTCTTGTGAATTAAAATAAGTTTTTTTTCAATTATTGTCATAAGAAAGTGAGCGAGTTATGCAAATAAAAGCAGTAGAACATTACAAATCTAAAAAATCTAAACTTCCGTAAAGAATTTTATGTGCATGAAACTTTCACAGAACTCATACAGGGACAGCATCAAAATTCAGCCTCTGGAAAATCCGACCTCTGACGATTGACCAGTCAAGTCAAATCAAATACCAAGATCAATTTTGAAAATAGCTCGTGCGGTCAGACCTCCTAAGTGCAAGTCATCGGGAGACATAGAAAAAATCAGATATAACGTGCATTTAGAGAAAAATTGCATTTACAAGCATTTACTAATCCCCAAGTTTTGATTGGACAACGCCACTTGTCACATGAATTGTGGGTGGCTGAAACCGGTTGTACGTGTGATCGTAGCATAACCAACCTAGAAACCTATTACATAATTCCTGAAAATTGGACGCGCGTCAATCATTCTAACTGACATTTTTATCAAAAATACGATATATTTCATTATTATGTAATCGACAATTGACATCAACACAATTTTTGATATGAAAATTAGTGATAATGAACTTGACAACACGCTTAACCGTATTTTGGACATGATTGATGGCATTGTCAGATTTTGGAGACAGTAAATAATAATAATATAGTTCAGGGAGAACTGTTAGAGACAGAAAAAACTAAAACCTATAATATCCCAGTTGAAGAATATGAAGAATGGATCAAAAACCTCGAGAAAGCGGGACTTAGCTACTATTAACATGATCATTGAGGACAAGGTGGAAGTAAAAAAAAATGAATGGATAGAGCAATGGTATTGTCATTATTACGGAATGTACAAAAGTGTTGCTGGAGAGAATCCTAATAAAAAATCATGATTAGCACAAAAGGAAACAAAGAAATGTGGATGCAGAAGTTACATTCATGCTGTACTTTTCATTGGTTCTTATAACACTATTAGGACACTGATATATATTATCTAATAGAAATGTTCATCCCTTATCCCCAGATAAGATATTATAATCAATTAAAAATGTTTAATTATGTATTATCTAAAATCCAGCTCTATCCCTTTCACTCTCTGAGATATTAGATAATATATATTAGTGCTCTTATAAGCATTTCAATCATTATTCTAGTATTACAATTAAAAATTCATAATTTTATAATTCCTATTTATTATGTTAAAAATATTTATTTTATCAAAATATTTATTTTATCAAAAATATCTATTTTATCTAATATATTTATTTTATTTCTATTGCTTTAATGTAAGCTTATTTTATATATATTACTATCTAAATTATAGTTAATTGTAAGATATGTGATATTAATATTATTTATTTTATGGAAGATTAGAAATAATAGCAGAGATTATTTGAAAATTATAATATTGTTACCGTTTTGATGGGGCTTTCGAAATACTCAAAGGTATTTATAAAATTTAAGGAATATTCAAAGGGAA